TAGCCCTCTTGACTTACAAGATTGTTTTAAAGTAAGGGACCAAATGAGTGAGTAATTTCTTGCACGAAATCTTGTTTTGTTTAATTGGTGGGTTAAGGTTTATTAGTGTGTGTGTGTATATATATATATATATTGGGGAAAATTAGGTTAATTAGATGAGCAGTAATTGCAAGAATTCGTCGGCTTCAAAATCTTATCGTTTAACTTTGATAAGGACCCTTTTGACAGGAGTATATCTTTTTGGGAAAATACTAAGTGTACATCACCCTCTACATAAGGGTGTACATAATGGACACACGGTGTCTCTCCATTGGAAGAAGTGTCGACCCCACAGGCACTTCCTCCAATGGGGAGGCGCCGGGTGTCCATTATGGACACCCTTATGTAGAGGGTGATGTACTTGTAGTATCACCCATCTTTTTGTAGTGGACTTTATTGAGGAAGTTACGTTATGTCGATTTCAGGATTGATATTGACTCGAAATTTTTTTATTTTTATTTTTAATCCGGACATAATTATACTGTCATGCTAGAGTTTTATGCTCTAACCTGCCCCATTCCATGATGACCAATGCTTGACCAGTCTGCTCGAACCAAGATAATAAGAATTAGAAGAAAAACGTAAATTCCGCAAAACATTTCACCATTCTGTTCAATCCACCTTTTACATCAGATAACACGAAAAGTTTAATACATAAAAGTATAAACGAAGAACACGACAGATAAAATTTGCGATGTGAAAATTAAAAATTTATAATTGAAAATGGGAGGTCACAGTCACAAAATCTGTAGGAGATCCAAGGAACCCAACTGCCCAATTATAGATTTGGTAATAATTCTCACTTTCAATGGAAGCAACGGATAACAACCCAACACCTAACCTCTTTTTTCCTTGTTTAAAATCCCCCTCACTTGCTGTCCGTAGCACTAACTACATGAAATTCTATCATGAACAAAAGTACCAAATAAATTCAAGTTCAGCATAGCTACAAAAACTCAGCACAAGACATTCACATTAATTATTTATTTACTTATATATATATACATATATATATATATATATATATATATATATATATATACACATACAAAGTTGTAATGTAAATCATACAAAAATAGATGGAAAAATATGATACGACATGACATAAACATATTTTTTTTAACAAAATATGTAAGAAAAAATGTTTTAAAACTCACAACAAAGTTTTGGGGAAAAATTAGGTTAATTAGATGAGCAGTAATTGCAAGAATTCGTCGGCTTCAAAATCTTGTCAGTTAACTTTGATAACGACGGTGTTGACAAGAGTATTTTATTTTGTAGTGGACTTTATTGAGAAAGTTACGTTATGTCTATTTCAAGATTGATATTGACTCGGGAATTTTTTTTATTTTTTATTTTTGTAATCCGGACTAAATTACACTGTCGTGCTAAAATTTTATGCTCTAACCTGTCCCCGTTACATGATGACCAATGCTTGACCAGTCTGCTCGAACCAAGATAATAAGAATTAGAAGAAAAACGTAAATTCCGCAAGGTTCAGAACGCCCAAAATATTTCACCATTCTGTTCAATCCACTTTTTACATCAGATAACACGAAAAGTTTAATACATAAAAGTATAAACGAAGAACACGACAGAGAAAATTTGCGATGTGAAAATTAAAAATTTATAATTGAAAATGGGAGGTCACAGTAGGAGATCCAAGGAAGCCAACTGCCCAATTATAGATTTGGTAATAATTCTCACTTTCAATGGAAGCAACGGATAACAACCCAACACCTAACCTCTATTTTCCTTGTTTAAAACCCATCTCACTTGCTGTCCGTAGCACTAACTTCAATGGAAGCAACGGATAACAACCCAACACCTATCCTCTTTTTTACTTTTTTAAAATCCCCCTGACTTGCTGTCCGTAGCACTAACATACACAGTGATGGTGAACCTGGTTGCAGCTCAAAAGCCATTGTTGCATGGCCTAATGAAAATGGCCGGTATTCGACTTCACACAATCGAGATCGAACCAGGCACGGTTATGAGCATTTGGGTCCCCTCTGAAACAATCCAAAAGCCAAAAAAATCTAAATCCACTGAGGCCGCCGTCACCACTGCCAAACCAACAAAACCCGTAGTGGTACTAGTCCACGGCTTTGCGGCCGAGGGCATTGTCACCTGGCAATTCCAGGTGGGTTCATTGACAAAAAAGTACTCAGTTTACGTGCCGGACCTACTCTTCTTCGGCGGTTCAAGCACTGACAGCTCCGACAGGTCGCCGAGGTTTCAGGCGGAGTGTCTGGCCAAGGGGCTGAGGAAGTTGGAGATTAAGAAGTGCACGGTGGTTGGATTTAGCTACGGCGGTATGGTTGCGTTTAAGATGGCGGAATTGTATCCTGATTTGGTGGAGGCACTGGTGATTTCTGGTTCAATTCTGGCTATGACGGACTCCATTAGCCATGCAACACTTAGCAGCCTTGGGTTTAATTCATCGGCGGAGCTTTTGTTGCCGACCACCGTTAAGGGCTGCCGGGCACTTCTCAAAGTTGCAGCTTATAAGAAGCTTTGGTTCCCTGATCGGCTTCATAAGGACTTTATTGAGGTTAGTTGCAGCGGTAATTATTTCTTCATAAGGACAACAAATCTCAACTTATTGTCTATTAACATAATATTGATGATAGGTGATGTTCAACAACAGAAAAGAAAGGGGAGAATTGCTGGAAGGTCTTGTGGTTAGCAACAAAGATACTAACATCCCAGATTTTCCTCAGGTATATATTTCACCATAGGCTATTAAACTAAGTTTGACACAAGTAATTATTTTTAAACACTTTTCACCGAAAGAGTTCTTTTTTTACAGAGGATACATCTTCTTTGGGGTAAGAATGATCAGATTTTCAAGCTGGAACTTGCTCAGAAGATGAAAGAGTAAGCGCTTGTTCTCTTTACCGTTTTCAAGTCGTTTTCTATTTTTTATTTTCCAAAATAGTGAAAACGCGTTCTCTTTCTTATTTTCGAAAACGCTTTTTTGAAAACAAGTTAAAAATTTACAAAGAAAACCCAAAATGACAATTTATTGTTTTCAGTGTTTTCAATTATAATCAAAGCAAAATTTTCAAAAAACGTTTTAGGTGTTTTCAATCACCGCCAACCGCTACCGAGAGAGAGAGGGGAGGAGAAAATAACGGGTTTTCCATTTTTATTTTTTTTAAACAATTTTTCAAATTTTCAAAAAAAAACACATTTTCAACAATCTCAAAATATGAGAATACTAATCTTAGATTATGGCTGCTTGTTAAAATTTTAGACGGAGTTGACCTTTCTCTGGCCTAGGCAAGTCCCAATAAACCCGTTTAGGGAGGATAACCCATGCTAGGACGAGACATCACCATTCGTGATGTTTCATTTAACTGATGTGAAATTTTACTTGAAACAGGCAGCTCGGAGACAATGCTACAGTTGAAGGCATAGAGAAAGCAGGTCATTTGGTTCACCTAGAACGACCGTGCGTCTTTAATAGGCGTCTCAACAAATTTCTTGCTTCCTTCCACGAACATGCAAATCAAGCCAAACATGAAGTTTAATTCATGTCTCCACTCATTTATCTTCTTAATTTCCTATTGTAAAATTAATGGAGATTTAATTGTTTATATGTAATGGAACACTATGAATTTGGTGTATTAATTCATGCTATAAATTGATGTTAAAAAAGGTTAGTAAATGGGTTGGTGAGAGTGATTTAGATTTGAATTCAAACTATTAAACTCTTTCGTGTAGACGAAGGGAGATGGGAGCGACCGACCAACCATACAACATTTTTAAATTTTTCTCGAGTTTAGAAATTGTATAATAGTTTTTAATAATTAATACATATATCGTTTGTCTCTCCTACTTTTTTCACCTTCGTGTGAAAAATCTGGCTTCGTCCATACTCTCGACATATAAACTTCCTTTGAATGAAAATGATCATTTTTATTTCAATGTCAGAACTTTACAAAGAAATTTTGTTTAGTATCATTTGTCATGCATCAAACGAATAATCTATATTACCAAGAGTAATTAATCATAAAAAATAAGAAAAATAAATAAAAATAACACACGATGTAATGTACCTCACTCTAAATGTGAGATCTATAACACCACATGCTACTACTGAAATTACATTATATCGAAGAAGAGAATTACCATATGTTTTGTATTTACATCTCTTTCTGTTTTCTCTCTACTATGATAACTTGAACGGAGGCTCACCCTAATATCCTTTATATGGAAGGAATTCCTCGATTGGTTAGAAATCTATAGACTAAGTACGATTGTTAATGCTTATGTAGAACTAAAAATTAACAAACGTTCTAATTAGATTAGATTGATATCAGTGCATCATTTATTAATCATTCGTTGGATTATAATAAAGTGCAAATGACATAAAATGTTATCGAGAATGACTAAAAGTGAATACTAGACCAGATATAAGTTCATCATTATGAACAAATTCAAAATCTATTTAGTATGCCAATCGTTAGGTCCCAAATTTCTCCTGTAACTGCGTCAAAAGATAAGTGTACAGTGTATTAGGCTCCACACATCCAACATCATGAACGTGAAATATGTTGGGATCTTATAAATAAACACTAGCGAGTTAACTTGGATACCAGGGGTGGGGGATAGTAGATGATTCAACATTGACAATCAAACTAATGGTTGTGGTTCTCTTCATGTGCAAAACAGTTCAAGAAATGACAATTCTGAGACTGATAATTGATAAACTACATGAGAATTCAAGGCAACTGGTTATATATATATTTGTTAAGAGTGCATTGCTATTAAAGAAATCAATATGCACAAAATGGAATGACATAACTGCTTTTGTTATAACATCAAGGTCTTCCAAAATACAATAAACGCCTTACTATACACATGTTTCATCGGAGCTGCAAATAGATAAACTAGTACTAGCACAGCTAGGCTTCCCAGCTAAAATACAGCGTTGAATGTTAACCTTTTGTACGGCAAGGAATATGATTTAGCCAGTATGGGAGAAACCAAATGAAAGACGAGCATAATCAATGTGATACACATGAAGATCATTCACATGCTGGTTTTGAGTGGAAGCTGCTCAAGCAGATTGAAAAGGCTTGAAAGGCAGTAAGAGGGTAGCGATAATCCATGGTGAAAATATCTTTTCCAATCTTTCCAAACTGTAAAATTACTTTTTCTTGTTCAGCGGCCGATATGTTGAGAGATGGATCAACAGCAGCCACAAGCTGGAAATTTTTAACAGAAGCTACTGTAACACGGCCTTTAAAATTCAAGCACCAGCACTGCAACTGTTCGTGCCATCTAGGAGCTTTGTTTTTAAGAACAAGTGGCTCTCCAGAAAGTGGTCTTGAAAATGATGAACTTGATAGGCTTCGTGAGCTGAAGTTTATGACCGAGTCCTTTCCTTCTGAGACCGGTGGGGGAGAAGATTTCTCGTCAGAACATTGTGGAAATGATGTTGGCATCAGGGCAGTGCCTCCCTCCTGAATTGAAGAGACGGAAATTGAATTCATGAAACAATTCATTCTCCTAGGACCTCTTGGGCGGAGAACATTGAGTTCATAGGAAATAGTGGCTACACTGTAGTTATACGCATGTAATCTTGGAGATACTTGGCTCGTGTGGAACCTTCTACTTGACCAACTATTATGTTGCACAGCAGCATCATTCAGAGGTTGACAGTCATATGTGGTGAACTTTGTCCCCAGAAAGTTAGACCTGATGGATAAGTTCTCAATGTAGTTAGAACAAAATATGCAAAAATAGATTAACCAACAAAAGTATTACGCGAGATTTGCCTTAGTCTCCCAACATATGTATTGCTGCCTCGAGAAAAATCATCTGCAACTAAAGATATCACAAAGTTCATGCTTGTTGCCCTTCTAATCTTTTTGGCTGCCAATAATAGTTTATCACTCTCGTCCTCAGCTGCGATTTGGAAAGATAATTACTTGCATGCCTTCTAATGGCTAATGAATTCCCATTCTAATTCATGTAATGAATCTAAGTGAGTTTTTGAAGATTGTATTCCTGTATTCTTACTTCTTTGGTAAAGCACGCATTTCCGCACTTATAGCACAACACGTGTTTTAGGTAAACATTTTTTCCACATTGAAATGGCAAGGGAGCCATCAATCAAAACATTAGTCATCTAAAGAAAAGAGCCATTGAATAATTCAACAAGTTTTTTTATTTTAAACTTGTAAGCCACAGTTTGTAATATGTAACATTCAACCAAAACTTGTACTTAATATATAATCCATTGGCAAGAATTTCCATAGAAAGTAACCAAAAATCCTTTTTTTCATATTTCAATGTGTAAACAAGGACACTGCGAAGATTCATATGTTCTAAAGCATTTATTATTGGAAAAGGTTCATATCATCACACAATGGAAATATTGAGAACACAGAGAATTACCTTCATTCTCAAATAACTTTTTTTGAAAGATATAATTTAATTAAAAGACTCAGAACAGCAAGAAACCCAAGAAAAATCTGTAGTTTACGATAGTTTGAGAAAAAAGATTTGTATTCAAGCAAGCATTGAAGGATGGAATTTACAAGGAAATAAGTATTTGAATGAATAAAATGCCTTACATGGGGTCAGACCAAAGTACAAGCAGTAAGTGGAAGTTGATCTATCCCGCTTAATAAAGCATTGGATTGGTGCGTCTCGAGGCCCCGGCTAGCCAAAATCATAAATGGAAACAAAAATTGGTTACAGAAGGTATTATTCATCATAACTAAAAGGAATTACGTAAAAGCTGAACTCTCGTGTACAAAAACTACCTGCTTCAATGATATGGGAAAAGTGAGCCTCCCACATTCCTCCGGAGTCTTGACAATTTCCTTAGTGATATCCCTCCACGACTTACAAACTGATGCACAAAAGACAACTGCTGTCCTAGCAGGCCAAGATGTCTCACTTTCTTCAACCCTCCGGATTATGTCCACAAGCAATTCTGGCGGTAAATTTGCCCAGTGCCCTTGCTGAATGGGCTTAGAAGGGGCTATATGAGACCGGTTCTTGTTGAGCCAATGCTTCCCCTCGATCCCTTCTCTCTTTGAGGTACTTCTTCTTCCATCTTTTATCTCCTTTAAATCGCGAACTATGCCCTTGAACGACATCTCAGTTGATTCCAACCAAGGCCATTACTTAAATAGGACGAACGTCAACGCATAAACAAAACAGGCATCAAGATCACTATAGCTATATTGAGAAAATCAGATGAAAAAGAAGATCCAAAACAAAAATTATGAAACCAAATACTATGATCACACATTATGCCAATTAATGCTGATATTCTTCAACGTACTGATAAATCTAGATAAAGAAACAAAGACTTTTGCAACTAAAATTGATTACGGTTCACCGTGTTCTTCCAAGAAAATTATCAAAACTTTACAATCAGATTTCCTCATTTCATGGTTTCATCAATTATGAATAAAAAATATTGCAAACCCGTATTGTAAACATCATAGAGCTCCTAAATTATCAGCATGCATAGAAAATTTAAAGAAACAAAAATTCCAAGCTCCCAAGAGTAAAAGGAAAAGAATATCCATTTCAAAAACCTATATAAACGGAACTAACCTTCAGATACGGATCAAGCTTCGAAATGCAGTAATCTGAGACGAGTATTATCAGATCGGAGAAATAAATCTAAAGTCTTCCATTCTTAATCCCCTTCCCATAAATATAACTCAAACTACCGCCGCCGCAGGCACTGCGCCACCACCACCACCGGTCTAGAAGGAATGGAAAGACAAATGGGTCGCACGGACAACGAAACAACAACTCCTTTTCAACAACTTATAAAGCAAACAAATTTTTAAAAAAAATCACAGTCATTAAACTCTAAGTCTCTGTAATTTTTATTTACCACTTAATTTTAATTGAATTACTAACTGTAAAACATGCTTAATTAATGGGTCCCAGTAAAGGGGTGCATGTATTTTTGCTATCAATTAACCTCGAAAGGTTTACTTATAAGTAAATAAGTAAAAGTTAAAAAAAAAAAATTATTGTATTTTTTATTTTGATAATATTACTTTTAAAATATGTAACTTTTTTATTATTTAAAATCATATTAGGCCTTGTTTAATGTTTTTCTTCTAAATTAATCTTAACTTACTTTTTAAAGATAGAATTTATTAATTAAAAAACTTAATTTTAAAATCAAAATTAGTAACTTAAGAGCACATCAAAACGTGCTCCAATCTAAAGGATGAACCGCATCCTTAACGGCCCCCACTTGCCATGCACTGAGTTTTGGTGAAAGAGGTAAATTGTAGGTTATGCTTCAAAGGGTATATGGTGGAAGGCTGCATGTACACTTGCACTGACCCAATGGTTAAATCCATATTTCAGGATTCGAACCCTTGACACAACAGCCTCAAGCAAAGTTGGAATTTTTTCACATTTCCTTTTTACCACATGGAGATGTGCCCTGAGGCAAAACGTGCTCCAATCTAGAGTTCATGTTGGATGCATCATGCATAAATAATAATTACTTGTCTACTTTTAAGCTATTATTCAATTAAGGGAAAAATTCACTTTCCCTACTTTATCTTTACCCTATTTCAAAAATAACAAAACAACTTTTACATTTTACAAATCAGAAATTTTGACTTATACATACACATTTATATAAATATTTATTTATACATATAAATAAATAAATAAATA